ATTAAATAAAGTCAAAACCTGATTTTTAGAAAGTTAAAACTAAATAGCTGGTCTTAGGTAATTACCTCTCTCAATTACTGCTGCTGATGCACTATGCAGGCCTGCAAGGCTTTTTTTGGCTAAGCTTTAGGGCCTGCTTTGGAAGTTTCGGGTTACATTGCACTGGTTTTGAGTGTGTATGATCGATTTCAATTGATTTTAGCAGTGATTTTCAAAGTTGTCCAATATGTTTTGAAAGTTTTTTTAAAAACTAAAATTATGCCCCCGTTTGGGTCACCTTTTTATCTCATTAAAATGAAAAATACGACCGTTATCCATCACATCAATATTTAAATTCAAATTTTCTATCTTTGTATGAGCCCCAATAACGGTTATATTTTTCATTCTCATTCTACAATAAGGTGGCTCAAACAGGACAATATGTTTTTTTAGTAAAATTTTCAGTTTATAATTTTATATATATAGTCTTTTCACTCTTAAGTGATATTTTATATATATGTAATTTTTTATATATAAGTTAATATTTAACTTAAAGAATCAAATAAAGTTAAATATTTACTTTAAAAAATTTATTATTATTTTTTATTTATAAGTAAATTTTATAATTTTAAATCATTTCAGGTGAATTTTTTACTTATAAATAATTTTTTTATATTTTATAAATAAATTTTTTTCTTATTAGTAGTATTTTTATTTTATAAACAAATTTTTTTATATAAAAGTAATTTTTTATTTATAAGCCATTTTTTTTTATTATAATGTATTTTTTCTTATTTTATAAGTAACATTTTACTTATAATTATTTTTAATTATAGTGTAATTTTTTAGTTTATATATTTTTAGTTATAAATTAGTTTTTAAATTATTTTATATAGGGTAAAATGACAAAGGAATACGAGAAACAGTCAAAATCTGCTTATTTGGTGAGTTTAGGGAACGAGCCAAAATTATATTACATTGATTTAACCACCCAAAAAAATTAACCTATTTGTACAATCATGCCGACAATTATGGTTGACAATATTGATATTGTCAAAATTTGGATCATTGATTTTTAAAAGTAGTTAAATAAAGTTGATTTTTAATTTACTTAATACTTTATATATGTTTTTAATATAAAGCTCCCAACAAATGCCCCTATAGCTCAGTGGTAGAGCGCCAGTCTTGTAAACTGGAGGTCTGTAGTTCGATCCTGCATGGGGGCATTTATTTCTTTTGTCTTGTTCTGATTTGATTTATTTACTTGCAAAGTTGGATTTTGTCAACGGCCAATTAAACTGCACCTAGTAGAATTAGGGGTAGACAAAACTCAATCAAAACTGTCCAAACCTAACCAACGCGACCTATTTGAGTCGATTTTTTTGTTGTTCTTAAGTGGGTTCGATTTTTTGATTGTGTAGACAGATTGGATTGGGTCAAGTTATAGGTTAACATCCATGATGTCCTTTACCAGCAAAAAGGTAAATAGGAGAGGTTTCATTTCACAGAGAAGCGTGTTTCATTTTGAAGAGGAAAACCACAATGTGCTGAGTTGGAGGCCACTTTAACATTTCCTTGCACTCGTAGACATAATAAACGGAATCCATCTGGTAAGTGACTGAGAGCAAAGGACCT